CCTTCTCACAGTCCCCGTGCACGGCCAGCTACCCTCATTCCCCGGGAAGTCCTTCAGAGCCAGAGAGTCCATTTCAACACTCAGGTAAGTAAGAGCTGTGGCCTGTGAGAAATATGGGAAAATAGGACCCAACGTGCTTAATTATGGTTAAACATCATAATTACAGTCATCATAACTGACATCCATACAGTGCTATTCAGTTTATAAAGCAATCTCCTGTGGGTCGCTGGACCCTGCCACCTTTGGAGATGCTGAGGTCCTTGCCTGCCTTGGAGCAGTTAGCCTGGAGCTCCAGCATGTTTTTGCTCTGGTTTCTGGTCCTAATCCTCTGGAAGTGCTCAGAAACCAAATGGATTTGAATAGCATCCCTGAGAATTTCCAAGGATTTTTTTTTATAAAGGCAATAGAAATAAGATTAAAATACTTCTCTAACCCAAGCAGAAAGACTTGGCCTGAGGGGGAACAGCACAGAAGATCAATGCGTTCTTTGAATGCCTTTTTCAATAATCAAAGGGAGTCTCTGCCTGCAAAAGATGTGCTTGTATATGTCACTGACCAGAGAGGGAAGCCCCAGCTCCATCTAGAACCATCTCCATTTTGCTATGCAAAGCCAGGACAACATCTTAAAAACAGAGCTTTGAATTTGCAGAATTGAATAAGCATATGGAAGAGAAAGGGAGAATCTTAGGAAAAGACTCAGATGCCCCTTATGTGTTTGAGATAAATACTATCCAGACCTCATAGCTCTTAAAGGCGTGCATAAACATATTTGGTGCCAGATGGTACAACCTGCCTCCTCCATTCATAAGGTTCATTTATTTAACAGATATTTATTAAACTCTTAACAATATGCAGGCATTGTTTTAAGGTTGCTAAAAGGGGAATTAAAAGGTAACTAAACATTATCTATCCCTGTCCTCAAAGAACTTAGAAAATGTGGGAAGATAAAAGGAATTGCCTCTTTCCTTCTGAGTTATGTGGTTCTTTTTGCCTCTCAGCAAGTTACATACACATATACTATTACACTCCTCACACTGTATTATATAGTTCCACATGTGTTTTCCCCATCACACTGTGAGTCTTCCATTTTCTGTGTCCAGCACAGAGCCTGAAATGCAGTGGCTGCTCATCAGTTGTTTACTGAGTAGATAAACTACCACACAGGCGGTTGGGATAGGAGCTCAGGACCATAGGTATAGGTTTCATCGACTCAGTAAATGACGATGAAGCATTTGCTAAGTGTCCAGCACTATGCCAGTGCTAGAGGAGCAGCAATGATTAAGATTCTGTATCCTTAGTTTCAGTTACCTGTGGTCAACTGTAATCTGAAAATGTTCAATGGAAAATTCCAGAAATAAACTATTTATAAGTTTCATTATAATTGCATGCTATTTTGAATCTGAGTATTGTGATAAATCTCCACCCAGGACCTGAATCATCCCTTTGTTCAGCATATGCATGCTGTATACAGAACTCCAGCCTGAGTCACTTAGTGATCAGATCACCTGTGCAGTATTGCAGTGCTTGTGTTTGGGTAACCTTTACCAGGGG